GATGTGGGGAGGGCGGCGGGGGGTGTGAGGGGCGGAGGGCATGGGGAGCGCGGCGTAGGGCGCCCTGGGGTGTTGGTTTCACACAAAGGACTGCAAAGATGCCCAACGACCCTCTAATGGCATGACGCCTGCCCTGCCCTGGAAGCTTCCGCCCCCTCAACTTTCACAAGCATCGACATGCACTAACACCAGGACACGCACACACAACGTACGGAGCACACACACCCACAAGCACATATTCACATGAACTTTACTATTTCCCTCCTTTCCTGTGCTTAACTTGCAATTTCACTCACACATACATAAATGCACACACACAACACGCAAACACACACAAACACACCACCCCCACCTCCGTCGTCGCCAGTAGGTGATAGGGCGAGTCCTTGTTCAGCAGCAGCGTGGGCCACGTGTTATCCCCCACCACAGTGGTGATGCCCGCCGCTGCGATCGCGGCCAGGGCATCGCCGTTAAAGAGGCCGCTGATGGCCGGGGTCACCATGCTGGTAGAGCTGAAGGAGGGGCGGCTGGACAGGCCCAGGTACATCTGTCGTGCAGCGGATTTGGAGGGGATGCAGCCGCGGGGTGACATCAGGGGGTTTTAGGGGGTGGACACGGAGTCAGTAATTGCTGAAGCATTGTTGCCCACGTCGATTAAACAGGGGCAGAAGAGCCCGCGTCCTGAGACGCACACGGCGTCGAAGCGCAAGGCGACAATCACACAGCAGCAAGCAAGAAAGCAGCAAACTAAGAGGTCACCAGTCAGCCGATCACGCAACAATATAGCCCGTACTAACACACGGAACCAAACAAAACCAGCACTGCCCCACCGCTACCCACATCTGATGCCATCTTGAGGTTCAGGTCCAGCTGGATCTTCATCGTATCGTAGGTCACGTTGTCCAGCATCTGGGTAGCATTGGAAGGTTCATGGGTCGTTTGGGGTTTAGAGTTCGGGTGCGGCAACGGGCGGCGACGGGGGTGGTGACGCTTGCACGCGGCAGCTTGGGTGGTTGGCTTGTTGGTGAGCATGTTGCCAAGGTCAAGCCGTTCGGTGGGCGAGCCAATGGAACAAGGCATCTGCAGGGTGGGCTTGGCGGTCCCGCGGCGTGCTGCTGAGGAGTCGACCCCCTCGACTTCCCGCTGGGAACTTTATTTTCTCCATGATGGGAGCGCCCACCTGGTGGCTGAAGGTGTGGGAGGCCCAAAAGAACGAGTCCGTCAGCTGCTTGTTCGTCTTCACAGTCTTGTACAGGTCATCATAATTAGTAAAGGTGAAGTCGTTCCAGCTGGCCACGCTCGGGGGCTGGGGTTGCATGTGATGGGAGGGATCACCGGGACGGGAGGAAAACGGGGGGCGCTGTCAATGGATCACGTGTGTGGGGTGTTCCAAGGCGCCGGACGGCGTTGAAGGGGGGGTGAAGGCGTAGCCCCGTGGCTTGGCAGGGTCGAGTTGGCAGCTGTGCAGGATGCTCCCCGCAGGGGGAGGGCGTGCAGGCTCAGCCGGGGAGGCGTTTGGAGCCGCGCGGCAGTCAGGGAGGATGCATGCCCCTAGCCTCACACAGCTGGGGCTCCCGCCCCGCCGAACCGCGCTCGGCCCCGCGAGCTGGCTCCCTCATCCCCTCTCGACCCCCCTTCCTGTGCACAATCCAGCGCCACGCCCCACTGGCCGTCCCCTGAGAAAGCCCATAGGGACGTACCCCACCCCCGCGCCGCCACGCACGCACCCGCCAGCAATCCTAAACCCTAAACCCTCAACCTTGGAAGCCCCAAAACCGACTCACCGGGACGTACTCCGCGCCCGGGCTGCCGCGCACCCTCTTCCAGTCCTTGGTGCACGACCTGCAAAACCAGTTGGCGTCCACAGGGCACGCGGCCATGAGGCCGCCCCAGCAGTTGCAGCCCAGCTGGCGATATAGGTCTGTCTCAAAGCAGGCGGGGACGTTCTGGACGGTGTCTGGGCTCTCGACTTGAGCGAGGACGCCGTTGCCGTTGAACATCTGGATGTGGGGTTGTGGGTGTGCTCAGTGTGTGTGTGTGTGTGTGTGTGTGTGTGTGTGTGTGTGTGAGAGGGAGAGAGAGGTCGGGATGGGAGGGAAGAGTGCAAAGGAGGTTGCGTGAAGCAGGCCGAAGGATGGCGTGAGGCAGCAGGGGCGCTTAGCCGCGCCTCGCTTCCCATCCGGGGTCCAAAGAGGACGCGTGAGCCCTTCCCGCAGCCTCAGCTGGACGAGCGCCGCTGGCGCCTCTCGAAGACCCCCAAACCGGCACAACCGCCAGATCCGGCGCCTTCTCAACCCACCATATCCAGCCGGATGTTGCTGCCGGGGGGCAGCTTTGCATTCATCGAGTTCTGCCAGGCCGCCGTGGTCTGGAGGTCGGCGGGGGTGCAGCGGTACTTGCCGCCAATCAGGTTGTTCGTAGACAGGAAGACGTCGTCAATCTGTGAGCAAGAGGAGTGACAAGCATAAATTGACGATCGACTATAGAATGCAGCGCGCTGCAGGGGTTTGTTGCGGGTTCGGGCCGCAGAGCGGCGTTGGGTGTTGGGGCTGCAAGGGCGGTCCTTGGAGCGGTCGTCGGTCACAATGTGCTTCGCCGGTCGCAGCGGGCCCCAAAAGGGCTGCGAATGCTGGCTTCCGGACCCGTCGGATCTGTCCTGCGGCTGCATGATGTCGAAGGGCCCAGCACCAGAAAGCACCAGAGCCATGCAACGTTCTTGCTGGCCCCCCATGCAGAATCCCAAGCCCGCACAGACAACCCATAGCCGATCCCGCAGCCCCGCTTTCAAGGCTCGCCGCGTCGGCGGCGCCCGCCCCCGCCGCCAGCCTGTGACCACCCGCCGCTTTCACCCGCGGCGCCCGCTTGGTTTCACCACAACTAGGCGTCCAGACGACACCACGCCCCGCCCACGCACCTGCAGCGATAGGATCGTCCGCCGCTGCCCCGGGATGACGTTTCTTAGTGCCCACGCCAGCCCCAAGTGCCCCAGCACCATGCAGGACGCCGCCTCCGCGCTGCAGTCGACGGTGAACGCGAGCGCCTGCCGCCCGTCGCCGTGGTTGACCAGCATTCCGTTGACCAGCGTCCCGGGCGCGGCCGCGGCGGCCGCGCCCGCGGCGGCCTTGCGGGGGAGGGCGGCTGCCTTTGGCGGCTCCCGCAGCGCGGCGGTCACAGTGCAGGGGCCGCAGAGGCGCGTGGCCGCGTCCTGCGGCTTGCTGCAGCACTTGCCGGTCGCGGTGCCGTCGATGGCTGGGCACCTAGAGGGGGCGCGGCCGGATGCGGGGGGCGCGGGCGGCGTCGGGGCGCGAGAAGAAAAGAACGTGTTTGCAGAGCCTCCAGCTTGCTGCCAGAGCGCGCGTGGCGCCCCCGCGAGTGCTCTTGACAGCTCTCTGCCTTGCGTGATGAAAAAACGGCGTCTGCTGCGACGGCTGATCCAGCCAACTACACCCCCAGATCGCCTCGAAAAAACACTCCTCGTGCAAGCCTGCTGGCCGCCCGCCGCTGCTGCAGCTGCCCGGCAACCCCTCCCCCTCCCCTTCTCTCGTTGCCTGCAGCAACATGCGCCCGCCCTCATCCAGACCACACAACCTTGACCCCCAGACGCGCCAGACCTTCTTTGCACGCGCGCCACACCCAGCAGCCTCAAGGCCCCAACAACCAACCCCAAAAAACCCATCCGCCCCTGCTGATCGCCCAGCTTTGCAAATTGTATCTCCCGTGTCCCCCCTGCTAGCAACATCATCAACCCCATTTGAAAACCAGGGGAGTTTGTTGTCCCTTTGCCGCAGGGGCCCTTTCCCCCGTGCTGCAGGCTAAGCATGGCGTTAAGTCAACCAATGTAAGGTGACGTGATGTATTGCCACTCCCGCCCACCTTTGTATCCCCGAGAAACCGAGCACCGCGTCCGCCTTGACGCCGCTGACGCCAAAAGGCGTCGACGTCGTGAACCGCATCGCCTCCGACCCGTCCCCCCGCGAGCACGGCGCAGCCGTCATGCCGACGGCCGCGGGGTCGGTCGCGAATTTGAGAGCGCGCGCCCCAGATCGCTTCTGGAAGTCCCGCAGCTCCGCGGCCTGCGCCTTGGACAGGAGGCCGCCGCTTTCCAGGTCGGGGTGCATTATGAGGGCGCTGAATTTGGCTGAGGTGCCGTAGGCGTCCCAGAGCTGCGATCTAAGGTCTGCCGCGGCTGCCGGCAGGGCGTCGGTGGTGATCGTGGTGTAGGGCACGCCATAGCCTGTTCAAGGTGGGGGAGTTTGGTGGAAGAGGTGTGGGGAGGGGAGGGGCCCTGGGGTTTGGGCCGGCCGGGGGTTTGGGCCGGCCGAGGGAAGGCGTCGGGAGCCGGCCGGGGCGCCACACACACTTGTCGCTCGCATCGCCGGCGGGCGGTGCGCGCGGCGAGGGGGAACGTGGGAGCGTGCGGGCGTCGCACCGTCCAGTATGTTGTTCAGGAAGCTTGTGGCCCATACAGTGTGCTCCGTAGTGGTTAGGAGCAGCACGCGGTGGGCCAGAGTGAGGTCCGAACTCTGTGCAGAGACTCCCGACGCCAGCAGCGCCACTAGAAAGAAACAAGCTACATCTATTCTACGGGCCATTGCCCCCGACGTTCGTCCCCCTCGGGACCCCTTCGGAGTCTTGCTGTTCTTCGAGCTGTGTGATTTGCCGAAGAGCTGTGCAAAAGGTCGCGTATCGTTCAAATACAAGTACATTCTTGTCCTCACTGGTCACGGCGTGCCTGTGTGCGTGGGCTGCATTCGCGCAGCCATCTTGACTGGAAATGCAGCAGCAGCGAACTTCCCGGCGCGCACGCAATCGTCACAGGAAGCGGAAGCCGCGCGCGGCACGGCATCTGGGTGGGCGGTGATTCTTGCTCCAAGCCAAATATTAGATATGGTTTGCTATAATGACCTGGACATCGTGTGCAAGACCGCACGGGGCCGTTGGTCGATGCCACAGATGGGAGTTGCTCCCCTCCCCGCCCTTGGCGCGAGGTGCAACCCTCTTGCGATGAGATCCACAATCCACGGCCTGGCCACTCCCTTGTCCCTGGTAGTCGAGGAGGAGGGAGCGCAGGCCGGCATCGTGGGGAACCGTCGACTGCGGTGGCCGCTGCGCCGCTGGCTGGCTTGCTGGTGAGGTCGCTGCGCAGAGGTTGCGCGACGGCCGCTGCCAGAAGGGGCGTGGCAAGGGAGAGGTGCGTGACGAGTGGGGCTTGCTGCTGGTGAATGGGGATTGGAATGGGGCGAGTAGGTTCCAGGGGGGGGCTGCACTGGAGCCTGTGTCCAGGTTGCCCAGCGCTTGCCAGGTGCGCAGCGGGGTGGAGACAGACAATGACTAACGGTATACACACGGTTGTTTTGTGTGGCTGTTGTGGTGTTTCGCACCACTTGAATATCAGATAACACGTCAATTGTCGGTGTGGAAGCAATGAACGATGGCCTTCAAACCATCCTGGTGTTCACTTCACTGCCGCTTGCCGTCTGGGCGCTCACATGGGTGCACGTGCTCTCACGTGGGCCGATTGTGTTTGGGGCGTGGGCTTTTTCGTGTCTTGATGTGGAACGGTGCAAGTGCAAAAGACGTGATATTTTTATGCTTGTCAGCTCCCCAAAGACTCCCATGTGCAAATATCGCACGCAACTGGCAATCAATCAGTATCCCTCCCTTGTCCTTTTGTCCATGGAGGAGCCTGCAACGACTCAGCGCCTGCTGTGCCAGCAAGTGGAGGTCGTGAGGGCGAAATTCACGGCAAATTGTGAATTTCAAGTATCTTCATGCAACATTTCAGGCCTGTAGCCCCCCTGATCGGAAAGGATAGTACCGTACGCGCCATCCCCCGCGATCTCGCCTGAGTACGCTCGGCTGAAAAACAGGAACAAAATCCAAGTTATTGCCAATGAAGCCTACTTACACCTTGTTTTGTTGACGGTCCGCGCATCGGAGCCTGGCTATGGTATCCCCCATCCCTGCAGCCGATTGGCAGCGTTCCAATGTCGCTTAAATTCCCAATGCTCAAAGATGATCCCGTATTGCCCGAGGGTGCCCAGCTGCAGCTCCGCGCAAGGGGCGCCACGCTGACCGCCACGCCCCCCAGCGCAACGCCAGCGGGCAGCAGCGGCAGCCCACCCTCCAGGCCACAGGGGAAACCGCCAGGCCCATCAAGCAGCGCCAGCCCGGAGCCGCGCACCGCGGGCCTGGCGGCGCCTCCCACGCATGGGGACGCCCCGCAGCTTCTCCCAGGCTGGCAAGTCCAGGTCCCTTCAGGACGGCCGCAGCTGGAACACCAGCGGGGAGAGCAACAGCAGCAGCAGCAGCAGCAGCAGCAGGCGGCCGGCGCCGCGGACACCACGCCGGTCGCCCGCAAGCGGCCCCGCAAGCCGGCCCGCACCGCCTCCACATCCGGGATAGAGCTCCTCCCGCCAATGCCCGCCGCGCCGCCGCCGCCGCCGCCGGGCCCATCCCCAGGCCTGCCACCCCGCAAGCGCCGGAAGATGGTGAGGGGTTTGCGTGCAAGCGAGTGCGCACGGCGGGCCGGGGCGGGGCGGGCGCCGCTGCCGCTGCAACCCCCGCGTCAAGCGGGGAAGCTGCCACGCGTCTGCGGGCCGACATGGCCGTCACGCGTCCGTGCGTTCGCGCGTGCGCTCGCTGAAGACGCGCCACCTCTCTGCTCACACAGGCCCGTGGCGCGGCGGCCCGAGGCCGCTACGCGGCGCTCAAGGGATCTGAGGTGCGCGGCGGCGGCCCGCCCCTCTCCGCGGGGAGGCGGCAGCCCGCCCCGCGGAGAGGGCGCGCCCCGGGGCCAAGGCCGGACCAGCGCCCAGCACAAGCGCACGCGCCATCCGCCGCCCGGGCGTGGGGGCTGGCGCGGCCTTGTCGCCAGCGGGTGTGCGGGAGTCGCGCCAGACTCCTGTTTCAGGGGGACGCGACGCGTGCGCCGCGGCCACCCGCAGCGACCCAAATGCCCGGGCGCATTACGTCATCCCTGCTAAGCACCGACGCGCGTGTCACCCGGCCACCCCCAGGTCCTCATCCCTGGCAGCGTTTTCTTCGAGCGTGATGAGTCAGCGGGTGACGTCCTCTTCCCGGCCACGGTGGTCGGGCGCGACGGCAGCCGCGCCGGGTGCCTCACAGTGCGATTCAAGGTGAGGCGCCGCGCGTGCTCGCGCCTGCCGCAGCGCAGATTGTTGGGGGCACAACACTCCAGCCAAATGGCTCCGACACATTGTTCGTGACAACATCCCTTGGCGCGACTGATCCTGTGGTTGCTCAACGTCCCCTTTTCTGTGGCTGACCTGTCCACAGCACTGGAGGGAGCGGTTCTTCTTCCCACTCGAACAAATCGAGGAATGGATCTCAGATCACGCCGATGCGGCCCGATCGCGCGTCCGAGACTTTGCCTCTTGGCCCGCCAACGCGGGCAGCCGCCACCGGCTCTCCCGCGGGGTTGGGCAGGGCGGCGTGCGGCCGCCTGGCGGCGGGGAGTTGGGCGGCGCAGGATGGGGACGCGGCATCAGCGGCGGCGGCGGCGGAGGAGGAGGAGAAAAGTATGGGGTATTGAGTGACGACACCAACAGAGCCGACACGACTGATAGGGAGGGGATGGGGACGACGGCGGACCCCGACGAAGGGTTTGAGGATTCCGAGGATGTGGAGCAGGGCGAGGGAGAGGAAGAGGGCGGCAGCAGCGGCGGCGCGCGGGGGGACGGCGGGCGGGGCCGCCGCGCGGCGGCGGGCGCGGGCGTGGAGGGGGCGGCCGCGTCGCGGCGCAAGAGCGCGTCGCGGTCGCCGCCGTTGCAGCAGCAGCAGCAGCAGCAGCAGCAGCAGCAGCAGCAGCAGCAGCAGCAGTTGCGGTGGCGGGTGCAGCAGGAAGACACCCTCTGCGTTGTGAGGGGGCAGCGGGCGCAAGCGTGGGAGGCGCACGTGCTGCAACTGCTCGCTGACTGGCGCCGCCGCCGCGCCGCCGCGCGGGCCGCCGCTCCCCGGGGCGCCGGCGCCGCGGGGGAGGGCAGGGGCGGGCACGCGGGCGCGGCGGGGG